GGTGTTGTCAACACTGTTTGCAGCACAAATCCAAACCACGCAACAGCTACTGAGAGAAAAAAGAGCTGTACCCCAGCCCAAAGCAGTGCAGACACAAATAATTCTGTGTACGGATTAAAAATTGCAGCTTGAGTTTGGAGGGAGATCTGCCTTGATTGTAGAGTGTTAGAGTGTAATGTAGTGTGCTCAGATCACCACATTCAGTCACTGAAATCTAAAATAACTGTTCAGTAATATCTTATTTAGAAGGTCTTGTGGAAGCTCTGGGACACCACAGAAAGCACTAAAGTGTTTTGAGGTTATCAGCATAGTTTGGATTCTTGGATGCCTGTTGCCACTGCCTCTCTAAAGAACAATTAATAGCTACATTGTGAATATTTTTGATTTTTTTTTCCTCAGTTAAGTGGTTATGAGCAATCATAAGCACTGTTTAATTATATATCCTATGTATATTTTTATTCTTGGTCGATTAATGTGTGATTAAAATGTGGTTTTGGAAAATTGCAGGCATGACTCTCAGAAGAATTTTAATTTTCTACTATTGTAAAGCCTTTGTCTCTAATAAATTTCAGAGCTGAAGAATTAAAAGGAATTCAGAAAAGAAGAACCCACTCAGGCGTCACAATCTGACACCCAAAATTGAAATAGAGATCTTTTGTATCTGAGGGATCCTTACTGCATTGCATCTGAAAAACTTCACTTCTCTGAAGGACCTGTGCTTATCACAGGAAAGTGATCTTTAGCTTCTACAAGCAAAGATGTAATTTCTAATTATTACTTATCACTTTCCAGACAAGCAGTTCATGTCATCCAACACTCACTGGGAAAATCAGCCTTTCAAAGATGTTGATCTTTTTTAATTCTTGTTTGGTTCAATCAGATTTTTGTCACATGTGCTTGTGAAAGATTGCTTGTTTATAATCAGTGCTCTAGATCCCAGATCCAGTTATATCAGTATTAAATTATGCTATCTTGTATTATTATAGCCACTTGTCCAGTGCCTAATCATAATTTTCACTGTAAAAAAGAAATTCTAGAATAATCTATGCCAGCTATTTTTTTTTCTTTGCGTCATCTGCCATTTACTCTTCTTGGTTTGAAATTTTATAGCTGCAAATTGAAATATTTTTAAGTGAGCTCTCTTTTTTTTCCTCTCCTTTTCCATGTGTGTATGTGTGTAATGTTATTCCTAGAAAGCATCTTAGAAAGAAGAAAGGGCTGATGGTACTACCAATAAAACTTCTAAAGTAACATAATTTCTGAAATAATAGCTAAGAAATAGCTGGCTAAGTATCCCTTCAACACTCTTCCTTGAAAAGGTGACAGTTCTTAGAGGAAAGACATCCAAATGACTAATTGTTAGTGTTAGCAGCCTTTTGCCTTTCTTGGGATGAAGAAAGAGGTAATTTCTGAAAAAGGCAGTTTGTTCTCTTATCTTCTGAAAGCTTCTCTATGATCTTTTCTATCACTGTAGCTACTCCCTGTTTATCAACAGTGAAAACACTTTCTTGTTCAATATTCTGAAAGGTGGATGGAAGAGAGAAGAGAGAAAATTTGCTTTACATTCCACAGATTCCAGTAAGTTATCGTTTGCAATTTCAGCTGGATTTCCTACTGTCTTAATTTATTGTTCTTACTTTATTTATTAGTGGAAAGAAGGAATATTGTACTGCTCTTTCCTAAGAGCTAACTGAAATCCAGCTTTCTGATAAGTCTCAGTCAGGCCACTGCATTGTACAGCTCAATAGATCAGTGTCTTTAGTGATTTATATCTTTCCATTGATCCTGGGGAGCTTGCCATTCCTGGGCTGCAGGGACTGTTTCCATCCCTTGTTTTCTATTGGCCATGGGCCCCTTGGTGTTTCATCAAAGGGTTCATCCTCACTGGACTGCTTGTTTGATTTATGGAGCAAACTGAATACTTAGAAATAATGGTCAGGGCAGGATGTCATTTATGATTTGCAAAATGCTGTTGGTTTCAGAAGAGCAATGTTTAAACCAGCCTGAAAAGCTTACACAATGTTGGATTCCATTGTAAGTTTCTCATTTATTTCTGTAGGAATGGGTCTACAGTGAGCAGCATAATCCTAGTTTCAGTAAGAGTTGAATTTTTAATATTTTTATTTTGTCTTTGTTGACACAGAGAATTAGAGAAGTAGATGAGCCTTTACTGCAGAATTCTCATCAGGCTGCTGTGTTTGCATCCTCTCACGGTACAAACATGTATCTTAAACTCATTGGTCTGGGAGACTCAGAGTGGAGTTATTGCTTTTGCTTTTTTCTTTCCTCTTTTTTTTTTTTTTTAAGCTGTTTTACTTCCAGAACACCATTTCCAACTGTTACCTTTTCCCAGAAATTAAACCTTTGCTGGACTTTGCACCTGGGGAGGATTTTGTTGTTCAGTTTGAACACAGCCTGCCTGTGACCGCAATATGTGGGGCATGAGCAGAGACTGCTCAGGAGTGGCAAAAGATGCTCTTTATTTGAGATAACACAAGTGTAGGACTTCAGGGGGAAAAAAGGAGTAAGCTGCTTTAGCCCATTGTTTGCTGCCTTCAGCATGCTCACTCCGGAGCCCTCTGCAGGATTTGTCCAACATCCCCCAGGAGATGTGCATTTCCTCTGGCACATCTCTGCCCCTTCCTCCTCTCCAGCACTCAGCTGCCTTTGATATTAACAGATTTTGCACACTCAAGAGGTTTCTGTCATTCCCAAAGCCTTTGTCACCCTCTCTTTTTAGGGATTTGACTTTCAGCACAAAGGGTGCTTTACAAATCCCTATTTGCTTTGTGGAGTGTGGATTTTCCACTCTGCCCTCACTGGACATCACCCGTCTGGAACTGATGAATGTGATGGGGCAGTGCCCTCAGCCCATGGCACGTCTAAGCACAGTTTCTAAGGTTAGAAGTTTTTCCTCTGTTCTGCACCTTTTCCATGGCTGAAATGCTGGAACTCATTTATTATTGCTCAGTAGTAAACTACTTTTGGAACTATGTGAGCTGTACTTCAACACTCAGGCAGGGGTAACAGCAGTGAGTGTCATGAGGTATTCAAATACACATCAGAGTGAAATAGGATGTGTGTTCTGATTATGCCACTAGTGTGCAAAGTTAATCTAATTTTGTAATTAGAAGATGAACAGGTTACTTTTTTTATGTGGCTGGAATTTACTCTGTGAGAAGCTGCATTATTCCACATTCTGTAATGAAATGTCATAACCTGTGCTTTCTTCTACTTGTCCTTTGAAATTGCTGCCCTGAGTTTGTGCAGGAAAGGTGACCCTGTGCATATGTTTATGTTTTCTTCTATTGTTAGCCACATCCAATTCATGTCACATCCCCTCCTAAAAATAATAGTTTGTATTTGAATTGCATCAGAGATATACCTTTGTCATTTCTTTCCCCTGAGTTCATTGAAGTGTTTTATCTCAATGCACTCCTTAGGGCAACTTGAAGCAAAAATGGTTTAGTGGCTCTTTTACAGATACTTGATTGTTGCATCCATGAGTAGCAAGAACAAAAAAACAAAGCCCAAGTACTATATTTATGTTTCCTTTGTGATCAGGGTAGCAGTAATGCTAGAAACCTGATGGAATGGCTCTTTGACATCTGTATTTTAGGGCTCAGAATGAGATATTTGCTTCATGGTTTGTGTAAGGGTGTTTAGTAATTAAGCCCATATCATATAAAACTAATTCTTGATTAAAGTTTTAACATAGTAATAGTCAATTTCTAAACTAGTTAATATTTTAAAAAGACATTGTTGTGAATGTGATCCAGACTGCTGATTTTTAATTCAGTTACCTATATGGGGTTTAGTTAAGATAATGCCTTGCTATTAACTCTCAAACAGTTGTATTTGCATGTTTTTCAAACAGGATCAGTTCTTCATGAAGATGCACACTTTTATGCTTAGCATGCATGTTGTGTAGTAGTTACGGGCAAAGCATCTCAGTTATGGGGTAACAAAGATCATGAATGTCTGAGCTTTTGTACATAATTATCAGAAAGGCACATGAAGAAGACTTGAAGCTCATTGAATGAATTCTCTAGATTTGTTTTGACACCCAGTATTTAATGTTGATTTACCTCACATTTTCCATTCTCAAGCTGCTTGTGAGTTGTCAGACTGCATCTGCTCATGCAGGCAGAGAAGGTGGTTTGCAAGGTAGAGCCAGTCCCTCCTGTGTTGTGCTCTGATGATGGGTCACTCTCAACATCTGTGGAGCTCTCTTTTTCCCCCTTATGCTTGCCTTGTCACTTTGGGCAATGTTTTACATTGCCTGCTTGTAGTCTTGGTGTTTTCTTTCTCTGCCTCACTCTCTCTGTGGACAGAGAGCTTGGACAGATAATTATTGAAGTTAGCAGGATTCACTGTTCAATCCTATGATTTCTACAGAGCTCTGGTAAAACTCAGCAGTCGCTCAGCAGCTGCTGAGTAACAACTCAGGCTGACTGCCTGGAAATAGACTGGGGCACTTCTGAAAGTTTTGTGGTCAGTTCCATTCCCTCCAGTTATATGGCAGAGCAGATCTTAAATCAGTATTCATCTGGGAGCAGCTTGATTCTCAGCCCATTATTTAATAATTCAAATATTAGCTCTAGATGAAGAAAGGTGAAAGACATTAGGCGTGAACATATGTTAGCTTTTCCTCAATAAACTGCTTTATCTCTTGGTGGCGAAAAGCTGCCACTGAAAGCTGGTGTGTTCGATGTTCCTTGCAACTTTTAAAGAAGAAAATGGAAGTTATTAAAGAAATGACAGTTCTGAGTTTTAAAAATCTGAAGTAGAAGTAGCAGTTAAGTTGTGCATACACTTGCAGAACTGGCATAGCATGTGTCACAGAGCCTTCATGACTCCACTTATTTAGTACTTTAATCATGTCACTAGCAACTTCCTCTGCCTTTTTTTCATTCATATACAAGGGAGAACTGGAGATATTTGCATAGTTGACTTCATTTGCACCTGTGAGTAATGACATTTTTAAAAAATCATTGCAGGAAAAGCTGTCAGAAGACAGTAGGAGATGTAAAGAAGGCATGGAAAAAATTCGCACACAGGCAGATGAAGATCCAAGAAGTGAAAGCAGCAACACTGAGGAGGAAAAGGAAAAAACAAAATTGCTCTTGGAGCGTTTGAAAGCTCTGGAGGTAAGAAGCACAAGAGTTTCACACATAAAAGACCACCCTTCCCCCTGCCTCATTCATTTATTGGCACTGAATCACCCTGTGGTATTAATCTAATCTTTCACAGTTCACCTGATTTCATGTTATGGGGTATTTTTTTCACAATTCATTTACCAAGGGTGAACAAGAAGCTTAGAACCACTAAAAGGATCCCTCTCTAATGCTGAGCATCACATATCTTTAAAAGGAATTTAATACATTATTTTAATTCCTTTGAGACCATTTAATATGAAAAATTGCTTTTACTCGTTTTGTTTCAATTATTAATATTGCAAGACTAATATAGGTGGTTTAACAACTATCATAAAACTAGTTTTGCTCCAGTGTAGTTTATTGCTCAATTTTTAATTGCTGGACTGCTTGCTTGGGAGAGCTCAGGCCTTTTTACTGCCAGGCTGTGGAAAATCTATTTCCTTGTAGACCTCACGGAGAACTGCACACTCTACATTTTGAGTACATTTCTGGAAAATTAGGATCTGCAAAATAGTGCACTTTGTGATAGCTTCTAACTAGAGGAGAAGTTTCAAAGTTTTCTAAGACAGCCGTGGACAAGGTGTATATTGTGATTAAAACTTTAACCACAACATACATGAACTTATTTTGTGCTCCTTGATGGAAGCATGGGTTTCAATGTCTATGAAAAAATGAGACTGCATATTTTAATCTAATTTTTAACTGCTACAAAGTGTATTTTTTACCTTTCTAGTGTTTATTCCTTCTCTTCAAGCATCTATGTAGCACTATAGGTATGGGTAACTGAATGCCTTAGAATGATCTGAGTGACATTTTGCCTGTGTAAGGTGTTGGTGGACAATAGATTTATCACTGGCCCTATACATTTTTGTTTAAGTGTGAAAGCCTCTTTACATGATAATTTTTGGGATGAGTTGTGCTCTGATAGATTAAGACTCTGGGTTTTTCTTCTTGAGGACTTTGTTAAAAGTAAAATATGAACAGCTACAACCAGTCCTGTTTGGATCTAAGTACAGGATCTGAAATCTCAAAGGTGTGGGCAGTTTCTTTAATTTTACTTTAAAGTCTTAGACTGTTTGTAAAATAAACACATGTAATATTAAATAAATAATTTCACCCAGGGGATAAAAACCACATGCTACTAAGTGTTTAAGATAGTAAAACTCCAAAAAAAGTGTGCAGTTTAATACAGTCTTGCTTTATCTGTTGATGGAGAATGACTGTAGGTTCCTTGTGGTCTTTTATTTCTAAAATATGCATGATTTCTGTTTGCTTTGCCTCATTCTCAACCAGTCTGCATGGCATTTGCAGTTCTCTATGTCCTCAGTTGGTAGGGAGGTGTGGCAGATTGCCCAGATTTAAAATGTAGCACCAAGGACAGGCAGGATCTGGTTCAGGAAGGGCATGGAGACCTCTCCTCACTGGTGTCAGTGTTGTGCAGTGCCTCGCTCAAAACCACATGTTAGAGAATGCCAATTCTTCAGGGATTAATCCTCATAAGGAGTGTAAGGAGCTATCAAAGGAGAAAGATGAGCTCCAGGGCCAACATTAATTGTGATCCAATATAATCAAAACAAAGTGTTGTTGACTGCATGTTGTTTAACATTATGTATTTTTGCTGTATTTTTCTCTTGAAGAATATAAATTGTAGTGTCAAAGACTGTAGGGTTTATTAATTAAGAGACTTTTAAAAAGTTATATGCAATTAGCTGTTCTAATTCTTTACTATTTTCAGACTAATTATTCTAAATATTTTATTAGTCTATCTAGAAAGGAACAAAAAATTACTGTTTGTTAGTTTTTTGTGCTGTGCGTGTCAGGATCTTTAATCTTACTTTACATTATTAGATATTACTGAATTAATGAAATCAGAAGGGCTAATAAAGTGCTTACTAGAATTGGTCATCCATCTGTCCTCTAGAATCTGAACACTGCCTATAAACATAAGCTGTTAAAAGTAATAGTCAGAATGTGTCACTTAATCCATTAATGCCTATTAATATAATTTCATTAATATCATTGCTGGTAAGAAAACTTTTGATATCTCTTCCTATTAGTTTGTTTGTTACTCAATGGTAGCACATGACAAGCTGGTCTTTTAGGGCATTGTAGAATTATTTCATCCTCTTCCTGTGTTCACTGGCCTGTTGCTTGGCACATATATTATAAATTTACTTTCATACACATGTATGTAAATGTATTTGACAGTGCACATCTAAGGAAAAGCCTGCACAAGTGGTGTGGAGTTTCTATTCTACAGAAGTTTAGATCCAGCAGGTATTTTTTGTTCTGGTTAATACCTTCTCTTGGCTGCTCACACAAAAAGTTGGGTAAATCTGAGCTAATTTTGCAGTGAATGAAGTACCAAAAGAGAAATGTTATCCACCAGCTCAGGGATAAATGGGTAGCTCCTCCACATACATGTACAATATAACAGATTATTTAGTTTATTTTGTTTGGAATGTATGGGAAAATAATTCCTGTTCTATACAAAGAGTAAATTGTTTCTGCCCTTCCTGGGCTACTGACATTGTAGATGTGAGGTACATGGTGGTTTCTGTGGATGGGAAATAGCCTGTAGCCATCCTGGTCAGCTGGATCTGGAGAAGGGAGTTGAAGAATAAGGAAAGGGGCAAGGCTTCATTTTCACAGGAAACTCTTTAAATAGCTTCCATATCATGGGAGTGGTATTTAAAATGTCTTCTTTTTTTTGCTGTCAATTGTATTGCCAAATAAATTTCAGTAATACCTTTTATGTTTTATTAACTACTGTTTATCCTAGAAATTTTCTCACTGAACAGTACAAATGAGTACAATAAAGTATCTTTGTAGTCAGCCCAAGTGAAAGCTATCATATACTTTGATAAGAGATATCCACGCATATTCTCCCATTGCTCCTTTTGCCTATAATTTTTTTACATCCGTTATCATATACAGCAAATTCTATTTCCAGTTTACTGACTGATAAATACCATACGTTTCTAATCAAATGGAACAGATGACAAATAAAAAATGGTTCACACCATCTTGTGTCCCATTTTACATAGTTGAAATTAATTGTGATTTCCTGGATATCAAAATTCCTTTATGCCTTCAGCATTTTTAGCTGGCTGCTCTTGAAATGCCATTTAATTTACTTCAGTAGTTATGATCAAATGCCTCCTAGCTCTTACAAAGAAAAAAAACATTCTCTGATATCTTCTCTTTGTATCTGGAGTGCTGCAAAAAATGAAATATTAATGAAATATGGTGAATAACATATGAACTCCATGGTGGAATTTCCTTTTTTAAATTCTGCTTTCATCACCAGAATAATTTAATTTTTTTTTAATTGTAGGCGGAAATATACCAAAAAATATAATTTATTCTGGATATGCATCAACCCCCATACAGCAATTCCAGATTTTTGCACCATTTTCACAATTACGGTAAAACAATAATATTATATTTCCAAAGTCACATAGACACAAGTTAGAGATTTTTCACAAAGCCTTAATTTGCTCTCCTGGGTATGTTAGGTGTTATATGGATTTTCATTTCAAGATTGTCTACTGTTTCTTTTTCCAGCAAGAACAATTTATACATTTACAGTCCACAGAGGGAAGCTTTAAGAATATTCTGTATTAGACAAACAGTGTCTGTAAAGACATAACGAGTGTCCCAAAGCTTTGTTATCCACTGTGGAGCTCTGGGTTCTCTGCCCCAATTTAGCCTCAAATGACTGAAATGCAAGCACCAAGCACCTGCATAATTGCAAGTGATTTAAACTGATATACAGCATTAATGTCAGTCTTAATCTAAACATGTCTGTAAAAGCTATAGTTACTTTGATTTTAAAAATTTAATCAGTGATAAATACTGTGTCAGCTTTGAAGGCTTATTAAAGTCTGTCATTTGCACAGACATTTATGCAGGAAGGGTAATTCAGTATGAATTAACTGTGTCTGACTCTGTGAAATGTTCCAGCTCTTTTGGGCATCCTTCTTTCCAATTGCAGTAGCGCAACTTGCTTAGAAAGTATTTGCTTTTGGCTGTTCATGAGGTGACTGGGACAGGGCACAGCTAACACCTTGTTAAAGCCACAGTATTTGCATTCAAAATTAAATAAACATGGGCAACAAAGAGGAGGTTCCCCTGGTTTGCGAAGTGTCTGCTGCCCCATCTGCAATGGGCACGAGTTCTTTTGGCCTCAAAAATACTGATTGAGGGCTGCTCCCAACCTTGCATTTTTCAGCAAACCGCTGGGGTAGCATTAGATAGTAACCTTGGAGTTATTGAATGAAAAGCCCAATTCATGTGTGAAAATCTCATTGCTCGCAGGTGAGTGAGACTCAGTGAAAGTTTCAGTAAACCAAGCTGCAGTAGAAGCAGGATCTGCTGGGGTAGAATCATGAAACCACTCTGATTTTAATTAAAGAATTTTGTGCTCTTACCCTTTGCAGTTCATCACAGAAAGATGTGTTTTGTTTTAATAAATTGAGCTTTGGGAGAAAACTCACTCAGGATAATAAGCAAAGTGTTCAAATATATTAGAGGAGTAATTTCCCTTTTATCATCACCATTAAACAAATGAGGAAGTATGTCAAGTATATCTGATATTATGTTTTTACTACTCTGCAGAGGAAGAAAGACATTATAGCAATGAACTATGAACTATAAAATAGAAATATGAGAAGGGTACATAATTCCTCTGGGTGGATTGAAAGGATAACTTTGAATGAGATGCTGCTGGTTTTTATTTTGCTCATTATTTTATCTTCCTTATTTTTATTTAAATGATTTTCCATGTTCTGCAAGGTAAAATGGTAAGAAAACTAATAATTATTTTCTTTTCCATGGAAAGAAACACACCATATGCAGAGGCAAAGAGCCTGAGTTTCTGAAAATATCTGTGAGGAAAGACTTCTTGTTTATTGAAAGTCAGCTGATTCACTGGGGTATAGGAAATGTGAATCACTTGACTTACATGCATAGAAAAATCATGATACTTT